ACGTGTGCCTTCTCCACCAGCTGGTCCTTCAGCTCGTTCTTCAGCCGCCGCAGCACAAAGGGCTGCAGTAGCGTGCGCATGCGGTCCACCAGCACCTTCTCCTTCTTCGGGTCCTGGCCCGCCTCAAGCACCGCCTCGTCTGAGAGTGTTTGCGTGCGCGTTTGTATGTATGTATGTGTGTGTGTGTGTGTGTGTGTGAGAGGGGAGGTGCGGGTGATGCGTTTGATGCTCGCGCGTGCATACTGGGTGTGCCAAGGTGTGTGTGTCAGTGTATGTTTGGGTGTGGACGTGTGCTCATGGGCCCACGCGCGTGCTGCATATGTGAGAGAGACCATACAGCGGGGCCTTCACAGCCCTCCCCACTCAAAATGCCGATGGACAGGCAGCGCGCCGCACCCCCCCCCCCGCCCCTTGGGCCCCTCACCCATGCCCTGGCCGGCGAAGACGTTTGGCAGCAGGAAGGTGAGCAGGTTATTGAGCTCGATGAGGTCGTTCTGGAGGGGCGTCCCCGTCAGCATCAGACGCCCCCGCGCGGTCTGCGCGCGCACGCGGCGGTCGCCAGCGAAAGGGGATTGAGGGCGGGGCGATCGCCGATGAGGGTGATTGATGAGCGCAGGGCGAGCGGGGGAGGCCGCAGGCGCGGGGCGGGCGGGCGCCGGAAGCGTGTGCCCTCAATGTTGCCTTGCACTGCGAGTAATTCACGCTTCGGGCTGACTAAGCGGCGTGCCCCACCTGTGCGAGGCGCCTCAGGCGGCGCGCGCGCGAGGACGCCGCGTTCTTGAGGGCGTGCGCCTCGTCCATGACCACCTGGCTCCACTTCCACTTGCGCAGGAACGCGCGGTCGGTGCTGTGTTGTGAGGGGGGGGGTAGATAGGCCGGTTTGGGGAAGAGGGGGTTGCGGCAGGATCGGGATGGAGGTTCCAAGGCGTCCTGGGGCAGCCACGCACGACTGGAGCCCCAGTGCTTTTGGCGCGGCGATTTGCAGCAGCCACGACGACCCTCGCAGGCGACAATAGCTGTCGGGTGCGGAACGTCCAGCAACACCGCCTGCCGGCAGGAACCCCCTTGCGCGCCTGCACACAGAATTCCAGCTGCCGCGCTCGCCCCCCACACCCCTCATGTGTGCCGCTGGATCTCCCTGAGCCCTCAACATCCAGTACGCCGTCCGCATGACGTCACACCGCCTGCCACCCCAACCCCCACCCCGCACGCTCCCGCCCCCCTCACGTGTGCCGCTGGCTCTCTCGCTCAAACATGGAGTATGTTGTCAGCATGACGTCAAACGCGCCCCGCCCGCTGGCTATGTTGTGCTCGTCCTCATCCAGCAGCTCCTTGGTCTTGGACAGGTGCGCCGCCACGGCCACGCCGTCGGGCTCCTCTGCACAGGTGTGTGAGGGCGGCGCGGGCGCCAGCGGTGATATGACCTAACGACATTGCACTCACGTGTGCACGTACTTTGATTACGCATGCAGTGAGCGTGCGTGTGTGTGCAAATCCCTGCGGGCACAGCTTTGCGCAAGGGTATGAGCATGGCACCGTCGCAACCAGGACGCGCGGTGCCGCGGGAGCCAGCCCCCATCACAGCGTCAGCCCCTGCCGCATGCGCGCTCTCTCTCGCTTGTTGCGGCGCACCCTCGCTGACGCTGTCCCCGTCGCTGCTGTCATCCGCGCCCTCTGCCTCGTCCTCGTCCTCGTCGTCGTCGTCAGCAGCCCCGCGGCCGCGGCGGTCGCCGCTGCCTATTGCGGCGGCCTCCTGCCCGGGGCGGATGTAGCCTGGGGGCGGCTCCTTCAGGTCGCCGCGGTCAAGAGCCTCCGCCACCTGGTGTGTGCGTGTGTGCATGTAAATGTGTGTGTCTGAGAGAGTGTGTGTATGTATGTGTGTGTGTTGGTGTGGGGGAGGAAGATGTTACAGGAGAGGAGGTCAATCCAGGGGGCAGGGAGGGCGGAGGCGATGCCAAGGGTGCAGGGCGATGTCAGTGACTAGATGGTAGGTGGTGACGTGGGGGGAGGTTGGCCCCGGGGCGCAAACGCGGCAGAATAATGGGATGATTGGGCCTTTGGTCAAACCCACTGCGACAGCGAGGCCGCAAGCGGGCCCATCACCGCCTGCACCCCGAGTCAGCGTGGCGCCCACCTTCATGCGCCACGCCTCCAGGCGCCCGCGGGTCTCCTCCCTGCTCGCCAGGTCGTGCACGCGGGCGCGGCGACAGCAGGGCGCACAACAGCGAAGAATGGGAGGCCATGAGCGGGTGGTGCACGTGGGCAGCAGATACGGGAGCCCATGAGCAGGGCAGATAGCAGCCCGCGAGCACTGCGTTCATCTGCCGCGCTAGCATTTCAAAGCGCGATGGCCAATTGCCCCCGCCCTGAGCTGCAGACCTGCTGTTGCCGTGGTAGGTCAGGACCCGCAGCTTGGGGCACCAGTGGCCGATCTCACGCGCCCAGTTGTCCAGCAGCGACGCCGGCGCACACACCAGGTGGGGGCCCCTGGGGTGTCGGGTGTCAGGGGTAAGCGACCGCGGACTGGGGTCAAGGGCTGCCACGAGGCCAAACTTTCAGGTCCGTCGGCACCGGCTACGCCCTTTGGGTGCCTGCTGCCGACAACGCCAACAAGCCATGCAATTCAGTGCAGGGGGGTTTTGACCGCAACAGCGCACAGTACGGACAGCACAGCACAGCACAACTCAAGGGTTTGTGGCGCCCCCGGCAGCACGCGCCCCGGGGCACCCACCTGTCGTTCTCCCAGTCTGACAGCACCCCCAGGAAGCAGATGGCCTGCGCCGTCTTGCCCAGCCCCATCTCGTCCGCCAGGATCGCGCCGCCGACCTGAATTCAAGAAAGTAGGAAGGGGACAACAAGGTTCATTTTCTAACTACTGTGCAGGGAAGAAGTACCTTGAAGTCATGAAGCCTGATTTACCTGCAACGTTCACCGCACTTATGGACGGTGCCTGTCCCTGGCAAGCCCACAATGCACCCCAATATTTGGGCCTTGCTCGCTCAGGGGAACACTTTGCCTCCACACGTCACGCAGCTGCACCTCGGCCATGGCCCCCGCCCTCCACTGTCGAGGTTGCAGTGCCCAATCTTCACATCCCCATGCCGGCCCTGATGCAGCAGCGATATCTCGCCCATTCCCCAATAACCCAACGCACGCTACAAACTCACACTGCTCGCAGCCTGCCTGCGGGCAGCGCGAGCAGCCCACCGCATGCCCACCCCGCCCCTCAAAGCACCCTGGCGTTGAACCCCTCATCCTTTCCCCCCTCCCCTCACCTTCTGCCTGTAGAGCAGGAGCAGGAAGTTGATGCCCACCAGCTGGTACGGCTTAAGGTAGGCAGACGCGGGGCCTGTAGCCGCCTCCAGCCGCGCCCCCCTGGACACAAGGTCCCCCTCCTCCTCAGGGTCTGACTCAGACTCAGACACCACCTGCACGACTGCCGCGCCGCCTGCGGTGGGGCGGCGGGCCGAGTGACGGCGGATGGAGGTTGGAGGGGTGCACGCGTCGTGCACAGCGCAGCGAACGGCGTGCTGGGGTGCTAGGGGCGACGACGCTGGCGTGGGATAAATTAAAAGGCCGGGAGTTGCAAACAAATGACAGCAGCGGCGGCGGCGGTTGCGGCAGCAGCAGCAGCAGCAGCAGCAGCAGCAGCAGCAGCAGCAGCAGCAGCAGCAGCAGCAGCAGCAGCAGCAGCAGCAGCAGCAGCAGCAACACGCAGGTGGGGCCCCCCTGGGGCAGGCAGCCTCACCGTCCATCTTGACTTCTGGCAGCGGCGGCTTGCCGCGCCCCGCCGCCACCCCCGCAGCCCCGTTGGCCGCCGGCTTGGCCCCGCCGCCGCTGCTGCCGTCGGCGCCCTCCTCCAGCTTGCCTGGGGCGGCGCCGCCATCTGAGCCCGGGGCCCCGTGGTGCTTCTTCTTCTTGATCTTGATGGGTCGCGTCTTCAGGGCCGCGTGAAGGCTGGCCGAGATCTGGTGGGGCACAAGCACAGCAAGCAAGGAGCAGGGGTGGGGGGCATCAAGGGGTGGTGCCGGACAAGGGGCCCCAAGTTGCTGGACTGTCGCGGGGCCAACCAGATGCAGGCTCCGCACTCCCTTGGATACTGCATCGGTGAACATCCAAACATGCCGAAACCACCTGCCCTTCCTCAGCAGTTGCCACCCCCAGACGCAACGTCACACCCCCGCAACGTTGCGGTTGCGGCTCATATCTCTCCCCCCCGCCCAAAAACCACCAAAAGCTGGCACCCCGAAGCGCCGCCGCTCGGCCGCGCTGCAGCGTCACGCCGCCGCTCCGCCGCGCTGCAGCGTCACACATCGTCCAAGGATGTGTCTCCAAGCGCCCCACCTGCTCGCACTTGGATAGCAGTTCGTCTGCCTCGTGCGCCGACTCGGGCTCCGGGGGCGGCGCCTGCTGCATCGCCATGAAGGGCGCGGCGTTGCGCCCGCGCGTCCACATGCCGGGACCCCCAAACCCCGGCATGCCGGGGCGCACCGCGCCGCCAAACGCGGCGCCGTAGGTGAGCGGTGGGCCGCCAAAGGACGGGTACAGGCGCGCACCGCCGGCGTTCATGGCTGCGGCGTTCATGAGCTGCTGCTGCATCATGAACTGCTGCTGCTGCGCCAGCATGGCTTGGTGGCCGGCGTCCAGCGGGTATGCGCCCGGCCCGCCCATGAACGCGCCGCCGCCGCCGCCGCCAAGCATGCTGGGCATGAGGCCGCCGCCCCCGCCGCGGCCGAAGGCGCCGGCCATGGCGCCAGGCATGGGGGCGAAGCCCCCAGGCATCCATTGACTGAGGGCCTGGGTGTCCCAGCCTGCCGCACCGCCCAGCGCCCCAGCCGGGTCCGTGCCGCCCAGCATAGAAGGGATTGCATCACCCGCGCCTGCGCCGCCGCCGCCGCCGCCGCGTGCTGCTGCGGCGCCGCCCGTGCGCGCCCGCTTGCTCTGCTTCTTGCCCGGCTGCCAGTCGTCATCCTCATCGTCGTCCCCGCCCTTCTTGCCGCGCGGCTGCTTCTGCCCGCCGCCGCCGCCCGCGCCGCCGCCCGCGCCCGCCGCGCCGGGCGCCCACATGCGCGCCTGCGCGGCGAGCAGCTCGTCGGGCCCGGCGAGCGAGCTGCCCCCGGCCGCGCCCGCGGGCGGCGCGAGCGCGCCGGCGCCACGGTCGACGCGGTTCTCCTGGATCAGATCGCCAAAGCCGCCGCCTGGCGCAACGGGCGCTTGCGCGGGCGCGGCGGGCTTTGCCGCGCCATCAAGCAACAGCTCCATCATGCTTTGCTCGCCGCCGCCGCGATCTCCGCCTCGCGCTGCCGCAGTTGCCGCCGCGCCGTCGGGCTGGCTGCCATCGGCTTGCATCGAGGCCTCGATCGGGTCCATTGTGGCGGGCTGCCCGGCCGGGCGGGTGCCGGCGCACTGCACACACTACGCCGGCCGGGGTGGGTGGAGCGCACGCACCCGACCCAACGGCGCTTGCCGCGCACGCAGGCAAGCTGGCAAATTGCAGCGTCCTGCAACACAGTGGCGGTCAATTGGGGTGTGTGGGGCTGCTGATCAAGGGGAAAGAGGGGCGGGAAAAGCTGGCTTGCTTTCTGCACAGGGCATTGCCCCGCCACACGAAAGAACGCAGCAAGGGCTTGCGAGTCCTGGGCGGCGAAATGGCACACACTACATATGACACTGACGGTTTTGGAGTGGGAACCACTTGACAGCACCCTCCGCGTCCCAGCAGCCGCACTCGCTGCCCTGAATGGCAAAGAAGTAAATGCAGTGCCTGTAGACTATTTTTGTCAGTGACAGGTCACGTCGCCACTGCCTGCTGCGCCCGTGTCTTTGAGGCGCGAGGCTTGCCTTCCGCTGATCACACCGGACACCTACACAAGCCACACGTTTGATATGAGCAACAAAGACACCCAATTCAAAATGCTGAGTGTATGAGGATGCAGGAGCCTTCCCTGGCTGGCGCGACTTTTTGCGCCACGTCGAAATGAAGCACACCACCCTGTGATGACCCTCCCGCGCCTTCATAGCACAGCATAAGCAAGCAGCCCACCTCTGCCAGCTGCAGCATCCAAGCGTATTTGGCAGGCGCGCTGGAAAGTCTGCTGGGCAGTTATGCTGGCATGGTGTGCGCACTCACATGCTGGGAACCTGCCTCAAATGATCAAGTTGGGGGTGCAGCAATGCAAGGCCGGGCCGTTTTGGATGACACTGAGCAGCGCGCCAACTTCGGCGGGAACAACTGCTTTCATCGTCAGTGTTATGGGGGGAGTGAATGAAAAGTGAATGAAAAAGTCAAACAGCGCTGGGGAGTCTGGTCCGTGCCACAGCCTTTGCGACCCTTTCAACGACGTATCGCTGCCTGTAAAGACTGGAGGCCCTAGTCACAGCACCAGCCCATAGGCCAAGGGCGGCACTTGTGCCTGACGAGCCAGTGCAACTTGTTGCTGCTTCTTATTATTGTTTGGCTTACGCAACTATGCAACCATGTATTGTGGACCTCACCCTGTTTAGAGAACCACAGAGCCACCAGTACCACCCTGTACAAGCCTTTGCGCTGCAAGGAGCAAATGGGACAGCGCTGCCGTTACAAAAACGGAAAGCACAGGGGGACGCGAGGCCCCGAGAAAGCCCGGCGCACACATGTGAGGCCCTGGTGCCGGGAAACTTGGTGTGAGAACGCTCATTGAAAGTGCACACGATAAAACTTGCACCCCCAACAAGCAGCACGAGGGGGCATGCAGTCCGCTGCGCTCGCGATGACAGCCGCGCACGCACTGCGGGCCCTGCGAGATGCGCCGCAGCAGCAGCCCCTCGCCAGAGTGTGCGCCCCCCCGCCGCCATGTGGGGCAGCCTGGAGGCGGGAGGCGTGCATTGCCCAGTGGGCATGGGGCTGGTGGGTACCCTGCCCGCCCACTGCGCTGCCTTTGGCTCGGTCTCAACTGCTGCCGACGACGACAAACAAACTGCTGCTGTAACTGCTGCAAGATAACCACTGCCGCAAAACCGCCCTCCTAGGCCGCGCTCGCGCCGCCACGCCGCGCTGGGACCCGCGGCCGCCGCCACACCCCAGCATTGCAGCTGCTCGCATGGCCGTCGGACGCGGCGCTGTGCTGCGCGGCTCGCGGAGGGGCGGGGTGCTCACAGCCGCTGCAATGGGGCTCAGATCTCCGCGGGACCCTTGCCCGTGAACTTGACCTGTGGGGCGCAGCCGAGTGGGGGAGGGATGTTGGGTGCGTTGCACACGGTAGCTGCTGTGCCATCACGCTGGACACCGGGATTGGCCGCTGAGCGCAGCGCATCTGCCAACCCAAGCGCTCATGACATGGCGATCCGCGCAGCCTCAACCCTGTTGCCAGCTGCCACTGCCATGGTGCACTGGGCTTGTCACTCGTATGCCGCCGCCGTGCCCGCCACTGCACCACTTGCTGCGGAATGCTAAATGCTTGTGTGCCGGATGCCTGACAACAGGCGAACGCCATCACCACCAACCCAGCCAGTGCCGGCCGCCACAAGTCCTCTCCATGCCGTCGCACCTTGATGGGGTTCACGTTCTCGCCGATGCGGCGGAAGTTCTGGTTCTCGCCGATGCGGCCGGCGTTGACCTTCTCAGGGTACACACCGTCCTTGGGGTGGAGGTACTCCACCTCACCCGTGGGGTACACACGGTAGAACGCCGGCTGGATCTTGAACTTGTTGCGCAGCTGCGTGGTGAGCGCCAGGCAGTGCTCCTTGCGCGCGAGCTTCAGCAGGTTGGGGCCCTTGCGCATGATGGCGGCGCCGCCGAGGGGCATCTCAAAGATCTGCTCCTTCGCGCTCTCCCAGGTGATCACGTAGAACTCCTCAACCTGATCAAGGCCGTGCGGGGGCGCGCAGGATCGGCGGATCGGTCGAGGAGGCCCAGATCGGGCCTCGCCAGCAACCTGCCTCTATGGCGACCTGGGCACGATCGGGTCGCTGTTTCATCGGATAGAAACCCTCCAGATGATACCGCGACGCTCCCCAGATGCCCGTGATGCCAGTTCTGAACTGCTGCTGGCAGAGCTCGCGGCGGATCCGGTCTCCACTGGCCCACTGCAGGATCCAGCCCTCCCGCACCTGTGCCTTCTTAAGCAGGCCACCAGTGGAGCCACCGAAGATCGGCGAGGGCGTGTCGGGGTTAAGCGTGGGCGCCGAGAAGGCAGGCTTCTTCTCGGTCGCTGCAGCCCCCTCGTTGGCACGCACCACCACCGAGCGCACGCGAGAAGAGGACGCAACCATGTTGCGGCCCTGGCTGCGCACAGCAGAGGCCGCGCGGGCCTGGCAAGAGAGGCTCATGATCCCTGCTGCTGTACGGTCGGGGAAAGAAAAGGCCGCAAAGAGTGCGGCAAGCGATTGCTGCAGCGAGGGGATGAGAGTGGCAAATGATAGAGAGGGCACGATGAGGGGCGGCAGCGCGGACAAGCGCGGCGCGGTTTAGCACGGCAAACCTCAGCAAAGTGCGATTTCGCACTCCAGGCGCATCCCCCTGCCTCTTTAGCATGATATTGGTGCCAGGATTGCCAATGACGATCGCCATCTTGCGCAACGGCGCACGGTACAGACATTTCGCGGCAAGGAAGACCACTCACACACTCACACACGCTGCAGTAGCGTTGACCGCGCATGTTAACCCATTTGCTGCTGAGAGGAGTCTCTAAAAGATGACGATGGGAATTGAGGATCAAAAATGGCTTGCCAGCTCTGGTGAATTTGTGCAGGAGCTTTCACATGTGTCTTCGTGCAAATAGGGAGGGCGCGATTGCTATGCAATCGTGGCGCCGCTTTGCTGCGACTTGCTGGCTTAAGGGCACAAAACGGTGCAAATTGTCGAGGCTGTGCTGTGCTTCAAAGGGGTACAGGAAGCTGTTGGGCGGGGGCGGGTCGAGGGGCACCGCGCTGCAGGATGCATGCACGGTGCTTTGACCGACCGCAGCTGATGTTGACAAGCTGATCGGGCCATGTTCCCAATGCCCCCTGAATGCTTGGGAATAAGCCGGGCCATGTCAGCGAGCTTGCAGGTTGGGTGCGAGCTGCAAGGGGACGTTCACGCTACACAGCGGAGCGCTGATACTGCAGTACCAAGTAAAGGTGACATGGCCCCATCTTGCTCTGCCCCCTCTTGCGCTGCCTCTTGCGCTGCCATCGATGCGCAGAAGCGATGTGAGACAGTCTTGAGTAAGTGTTTCTGATAGTCGTTTGCGTTGCATGTGCGCACAGATGTTCCGTGCGCCCACTTCAGACGAGGACGGTGAGGAGCCACAAAATCCGATGCATAGCGAGGCTCGTTGGTTGTCGACTGAATGAAGAAGCTCTTATGATACCGCAGGTGATGGCCCGCCGGCCCACAGGCCGGACCTTGTCCCAGGGACAGCGCCGCGCCAGGTGAGTTCGAGTTTGCGCGCTGCATCAGTGCGTCCAACATAGCGCGCACGTCAATGGCCACAGCTGCTGTGATTGGTGTACAGCGTGACTACGTCCACACTTGGCCCACCACTCGTCTTTACTAGGCTACCCGCGTGTCGCCTCTTGCGGGCTGCAACCCAGCGCTGTGCCGGGCCAGCAGCATCGGCAGTTTCAGGGCCTCGGCGGCGCACTCGCCCCTGCGCCCATCTTGCTCGCCACCTGGAGGCCTGAGGGAGCGCCATGCAACGCCGGCCAAGCGCATGCTCGGCCTGCTGCAGCCGGACACAGTTACACACCCTCCAAAGCAGGTCCGGCCGCAGTCAGCGGTGCCAGCGGCGCCTTGGGCACCCCTGGGGCGGGCCCCGCATGCACGGCATGCGCCAGGTGCCTGCGATGCGCGGGCCGCTCCAAGCATGCACAACAGTGACTCAGATGACTGCGAGCCCTCAGCGCCGCCCCTGCGCTCGGACGACCAGCAGCTGCCGCCTAACTGCCCCCCTGAGATGATGGAGCGCCTGCGCGCGTGGGCGGACGGGCTGTGCCATGAACCGCCGGCGCCCATGCCGACGCCGCGGCAGCCTCAGCAGCAGCCCCAGCAGCTTGACCAGCAGCAGGCTCAGCAGCAGCAGGCTCAGCAACAGCAGCAGCAGCAGCAGCAGCAGCAGCAGCAGCAGCAGCAGCAGCCCCAGCAGCTTGACCAGCAGCAGGCTCAGCAGCAGCAGGCTCAGCAACAGCAGCAGCAGCATGAGCAGCAGCATGAGTGGCAGGCCCGGCCGGCGACGCAGCCGCGTCTCGAGGATCCAGAGGAGCTCGAGCCAGAACGTAGCCATGCTGCCACGTCGCCGTCGGCGCCGCCGCTGGCCGGCCTTCCGCGGCCGCCCCCCCCAATGGAAGCGCCGCAGGACCCTAAGCGGCGGCGGACGTGCCCCACGCCGCAGTCGCCCCCGCTGCCGCGGCTCGGGGAGTCTGCACCGCAGGCAGCCCGGTACGAGGCGCCAGCGGTGGAGCCGGATGGCGGGCCGGAAGCGTCTCCTGTGTCTGCGTCGCCCTCGCTCCCAGAGAAGGGTTGCGCCAACGCCTTGCGCGGCAAGCGGGGGCGCGCCTGCAGCGGAGGCACCGGCGGCAGAAGCGGGCGTGGGAGCCCGCACCTGCCTGATGCACACCAGTCCGATGGAAGCGATGAGGGCGGCGGAGAGCGCCCGTACTCCGCCTCCTGCAGGTGCCAGAGGCCGCGCTGCAGCGCGTCGCCCGCACCCTTGGGATCGCCCGGCCCCGCCGCAAACCCCGACGGCATGGCGCGCGCCCATTGCACGCCAGGATCGCGCGAGCGCGGCGCGGCGCGCAATTGCAGCCGCGGCGGCGACGGCGGCGGCGGCGGCGCGGGCCCGGGCGCGGCGCAGCACGCAGCTGCAGCGCGGCCGGGGACGAAGCGCTCGGCGCAACCTGATGGCAGCTCTCTCGCAGACGGCCGCCACCAGCACGGCCCTAGCCCCCAGAAACGGCGCGGCCCTGCGCCCTGGCGCGGCGACCTTGGATCCTGCGCTTGCACCTGCACCTGCGGCGCGAAGCGCCCGGCGCCGCCGGACCCGCCTGCTGGCGCGGGTGGCGACGTCAACGGCGGTGGTGGTGGCTGCGGCGGCGGCAACCCCGCGGCGCCGCGCTTCAAGGTGCCTCGGGCCGTCGCGCTGACCCGAGAGTCAGTCGCAGCCGCAGCGGCCGCAGACCCGGGGGCTGCCGACCCCTTCACCCCTGCGTGGTGGGCGGACATGGCGCGCGCGGCCGGCAGCGGCGGGGGCGGCGGGGGCGGGTTGGCACCGATGGAGGTCGCATTCTCCCAGGCCAGCCAGCCGCGGTCCGCCGTGCCGATGGTCTGCTCCCAGCAGTCCAGCCTGGCCGCAAGCCAGCCTTCCGCTGCGGGCGAGGCGGCCTCTATGGATGTTGAGGAGTGGGCAGACGCGGCCGCGGCCGCCGGCAGGGCGCTGCCGACGGCCGCAGGCGGCGCGTGGGCGGCGCCGGCGCCGGCGCAGGGCAGGCGTGGGCACGGCGCCGTCGCGGAGCAACTGGGGCACGAGCAGGCCGCGGCGGAGGCCGCCGCCGTCAGCGCCGCCGCCGCCGAGGCCGCCACAACCGCGCGGGCCGCGGCCGAGCGTGCGGCCGCGGAGCAGCTGGCGGCGGCGCACCCGCTGGTGGGCTCCCTGCTGCACCAGCTGCGCAGCGGCGGCGGCCTGCCGGCAGTGCTGGCGGGCGG